ATTATTATTATTATTATTATTATTATTATTATTATTATTATTATTATCATTATCATTATTAATTCAATTTATATACAGAACCGGTAGTAACAAATTTTAGATTTCACCACTGTTTTGGTGCACACAGATCCCACCCTCTGAAATAAACCAGGCATATGAATCACACAGTTCATCTGAAAAGGCTGTCTTTGTCCATTAGGATCATTATTATTTTTTTAAAAAATGTTTGGAATGAATCATACATAAAAAGGGTTGAACAGGAATTAGGCTATTAACACTCCTGCGGAGAATTCAAAGTTGTTGGTTTGTTTGTTTGTTTGTTTTTTTAAAAGTCACATAAACAACCTTCTAACCAGCAGTTTCTGACCCAGAAAATAATAACCAAAAAAAAAAAAAATATGTACAGCCAAGCTCCTGTAAGGTTGTATAACAACACACGTAATCGCATGTACAAAAGGTGTCCTTGTGTTTTCTCTCCGTTGTAAACTCTTCCTGCGTTGAAAACTTGATAGTTTCTTGTTTTCGCTGTTCAATCCTGTATCTTCAAAATGCTCCTTTTCTCTAAGTCGTTCATCTCCTTTAAGATGAGAGCGATGTTGTATCTTAATTCTTGGAATTTGGCCACGGGGACCTGATACGGTAAAACAAAATGAAAGGAAAATTCAAACTTTAAAAAGTTGAATCCGAATCTTTCTAACCCCACATTTATTTAATAATGTAGGTAAGTTCTTGACTTACAACGGTTTGTTTAGTGGTTTTTCAAAGGGTCCTTCTTCGCACTTAAGTGTTGTGGTCCGCCAGCAGCCTGCGGAGCTGGCAGCAGAGTCGGACAGTGAGGAGGCTGAGGAAGAACAGGGGCCAGTCCTGTAGTCTGGGGTAGGCCCGGATGAGGGCTCTGCGTCAGAGGCAGAGATGGGGCCAGGGCCATCTGGGAGTGATGAGCAGACTCCAGAGGCCGCAGAGTCAGACAGCAGAGAGGCAGAGGAACAGGAGGAGCCTGTTCCTAGTGCACGTATGAGAAGAGCTGCCAGAAGGCAGGAGCAGATAAAGCAGAGAGGACAACTCGGGAGTAAGGCCAGGAGATGATTGGCCCCTCCCATAAGGCTTAAAAGAGAAACAAAGGCACTTGGGCCTTTTGCAGGAAAGCAACGTTGCTAACTCGGTTTCCAGTCGGCATCTCTTGTTTGTTTCTGAACTTCATGGGGCTTTGCCAAGTAAGGCCTTTGGCAAGGTGTCAAAGAAGATAAAGGTTGGTGATTATCCCGACTTCTTCCGAAGGATTTGTTTTTGGCAACTAATTGGGACTCAGCTGGGAATGAACATAATTCTCAGCTGTTACAATAAAATACATTTGTTTGGGACTAATTGTGTCTTGTAATGACTCAGTAAGCTTAGATCCCAACACTATGATGGGTTGCAGAATCTCCATGGTTACGTGATCAAAAATTCGTTGACTTGGTAACTGACTCATATTTATGACGGTCGCAATGTCCCAGGGTTCCTGTGATCCCCTTTTGCCACCTTAGCAACGTCAATGAGGAAGCCAGATTCACTTAACAACCATGTTACCGATGTAAGAACTGCAGTGATTCACCTAATAACTGCGGTGAGAAATGTCATATAAACGGGACAAAATTCACTTAACAACGGTCTCGCTTAGTGGTGGAGATTTTGGGCTCAATTGTGGTCGTACGTCGAGGACCACAATTGAGGTCTCCTGTTGAAATCCAATGAACAACGCACCGCACTTCACAAATACAGAGATGTACAATTAAAAGTGTCCATGGGTAAAAATGAAAACACCAGTTCTGCCCCAGCTACGGACCCCAAAGAACATAGCACACACAAAGTCTGTACAAAACTTAAATTTTACTAAAATAACTCAGTCTTTTCCAAACAAAAGCTGTTAATAAACGTTCTTAACAGCCTACAAAAAACCAAAGATAAAGTAATCACAATCTTACGAAGGTTGGCAGAAAGCCCAGAAGCAATTTTGCAGAGAATCCAGACGGAAGGAGAATGAACTAAAGTTGTTCCCTACAAATTGCTTCAATTGGCATTCCTCCTTAAATAGGCTAAGGGAGTGGCCAATTAGCCCCAAGCCTTACTCTCGAGGAGACCTCCTCCTGAGGAGCCACTCCTGCCTTTTGGCAGCTCTGCGCGCCCGTGCATCGAGAAGAGGCTCCTCCTCTTCTTCCTCTTCACTTATGGGAGCTTCTGAAGGCCCTGGCTGAATCCCCGGCTCTGGCACCACATCTTCTCCCGCCTCCTCATTATCTGACTCGAGTGCCAGCTGCACAGGCTGCTGGCGTAGCACCACACCAGCCTCCTCGCTGTCAGAATCAGCTACAATCCGCACAGGCCGCTGACGGGCCACAACAACACCTTACATCAGGGTAATGATGATTTAAAGCTGACCAGCCCTTTAAGACTGAGGATGAATCAGCAGGGTTATTGCCCTTTTAAGAAGCTGTCTATATAAGGGAGGCCAGTAGAGGGCGTCACTCTCTCTCCTCATGTATCACTCTCCTCGTCCCATGTATCTCCATTGTAGTTCTCCGTGTAGAGTTGAAGAGGACTGATTGCTTGTCTGGCTTTGCTTAGCATGTGTATGTATATAACTTGTATATAAGCCATTGTTTGTAAAGAGAAAACCTCTGTGTCCTGTATTTGGCTCCTGGGTTGTCTCAAAATAGTTGTCACAACTGTAAACACTCTGACACCTTAGAACGACAACGACAAAACACTCCCTAGATTTTGTATAAAAAGAATTGCTTTTCTGTGTTTCCTTTAAATTTCTACATTTAAAAAAATGGTTTTTTAAAAAAACCTCATTAAACTACACAATTTTTTTTGTGTAAGAAAAAAAGTTTTCCATCCGCAAAATTCACATTAGTCTACGATTCGGATTCTGAGGTAAATTAGAACCCCAGACATAAAACACGGATTCTGGGGAGCATTTTGAGCTGAAAAAATCGATGCAAAATTCAAAGGAACTTTGCCCCAAAAACAACTTTAACTACCCTATTTTTCGGAGTATAAGATGCACCTTCCCCTCCCCCCCCCCCCAAAAAAAGAGGGTGAAAATCTGGGTGCTTCTTATACTCCGAATGTAGCCCCGCCCAGCTTCTCAAACGGAGGTTTCAGAGGCATCAGAAAAAAGCATCAGAAATGAAGCTTCAGAAAAGAAGCCCCCAAACAGAGCTTCAGGAAAAAAAGCCTCTGAAAGGCTTTTATCTAAAATAATATGGCAAGCAACAAAAGAAGAATCAGTAAAGGTTCTAACCAAAACAAATCTGGAAAAATGACACAATAACCAACAGATCAGAAGAGGTTAATCTACAAACCAATACCAAAGAAAGGAGATTGAACAGAGTACAGCCTCTGAAAGAAGCTTCAGAAAAAAAGCCTCCAAACAGAGCTTCAGAAAAAAAAGCCTCCAAACAGAGCTTCAGAAAAAAAAGCCTCCAAACAGAGCTTCAGAAAAAAAAAAGCTTCAGAAAAAAAAGCCTCCAAACAGCTTTAAAAAAAAAAAAAAAAAAACTATTTTTCCTGAAGCTCTGTTTCGGAGGCTTTCAGAGGCAGAAAAAAAAGTTTTTTCTGAAACAGAGTTTCAGAAGTTTCAAAGGCAGGGAAAAAAACAAAACAAGGCACAGAGCTCACAACCAATGAACCTGTTGCTAAAATTCACTGGGAGGCCGATCCACCCGCCAATCAGCTTTTTTTTTTAATTTTCCTCCCCAAAAACTAAGGTGCATCTTATACTCTGAAAAACACGGTATCTTGCTAGCAAGACTTACTTCAAAGCGATGAGCAGATCCATCCGAAAGCTTGAGCTGCATTAAGATGGAAGGCTGCAAAGCCCTGGCCAGAGAGCTGAAAACAAACACATTAAACACTGTGAGAGAAGACATAAAGAGGACAGGCAGAGGTTCTGAATCAAGATTTGGCAAATTTATTTCCATCCCCCCCCCCCATCACCAGGAGAAGCCAATAAAAGAGGGTATCTGTTGCTCGGGGTTAAACTCTGGGATCCTTGGTGCTCTCTGAGCTTGCTCTTTTTCTTGTAGACATTTCATTACCGAACTAGGTAACGTCATCAGCACTGATGATGTTACCTAGTTTGGTAATGAAATGTTTGCAAGGAAATCACCACACTCAGACAGCACCAAGGACCCCCACAGCAAAACAATTGAGTTGAAGTCCACAAGTCTTAAAGTTGCCAAGGTTGGAGACCCCCGATCTAGAACAGAGGGTATTCTGGGAGTTGAAGTCCACAAGTCTTAAAGTTGCCAAGGTTGGAGACCCCCGATCTAGAACAGAGGGTATTTTGGGAGTTGAAGTCCACAGGTCTTAAAGTCACTAAGTCTGGAGTTCAATTCTGGGAGTTGGAAGCCCACGAGCCTTTAAAAAGTCACCAAGTTTGGAGACCCCGGATCCCGGAAGCAAAATCAACCTGAAACCACCTCCCCACCGGGGGACATGCTAGAATTCCCAACCTGGTTGAAATGGCGACATCAACTCTCCACTTGAAGTCTTCAATTCTGGGAAGCCGGTTTCCCTGTTTCTGAAGAGCGGCTTCGAGGAGGGGGCGTCTGTAAGAAAGAAGAGGGGGCAATATTGCCTAGAAGATAGAGCAAGGACTCTTAAAAGGCAACAGGTTGGAAAAAACGGACTGTTTCTCCAGATGAAAGGAAAGGACATTATTATTTTGTTTACGGAGCGGAGATGTCAGGTTTCGAGGTCGTCTCAAATAAATTGCATTTCAAACAAAGTCTTTGAAGAAAACTCCCATTTATTAAGCACGACATTCTAATTCCGACTCCATCATAGCCAACACTGACTTCCTGACCCAAAACCCTCCCTTTCCTTTCCCCACTCCTCTGCACTCATTGGCCATCTTCCAAGTCACTCTACCCCTAATCTACTGCTCCAGATCAAAGGAATTTCCCCCCTTCCATCCCATCTCCTAGGGGATATTATCTCCAGGGAAAATAAGTAGGTGAAAAGTCAAACGTCCCTTTCCAGATGCCTCTGCTTCTCCTTCTTATATCAGCACTAGAGTAAATGCAACTTGAAGTGCTGACAGGAGAGTTATGTTTGCGCACAGCTAGGCTAGTTGCAGATTTTTCCCCTATTGCTTCCTTGAGAGATTTTATTGCAGAAAACAAGGCAAGCCTAAAAAGAACATGATGGGAAAACTGACTAACCTGTTCCCAAAGACCACAGTTGCAAAATCGGCGATGAAGTCCTCTGGTATCCTGAAAAAGAAGGATCGATTAAAACCCAATAACTTATTTCCTTCTCAAATTACCAGACATTTATCTTTGAAAGGTGAAAAGAGGGAGGGAGGGAGGGAGGAAGGAAGGAGAAAGGAAGGAATGGAGGGAGGGAGAAGAAAGGAAGGGAGGGCGGGAGGATGGAGGAAGAAAGGAAGGAATGGAGGAGAAATAAGGCAGGGAGAGGAGAAAGAATGGAATGAGAAAAGGAAGGAAAAAAAGGAGATGGAGAAGGAAGGAAAGGAGGGAGGAGAAAGGAAGAAGAGAGGGAGAAGGGAGGGAGGAAGGAAGAAAGAAAGGAAGGAAGGAACGGAGGAGAAATAAGGCAGGGAGAGGAAGAAAAAAGGGAATAAGGAAAAAGAAGGAAAGAAAGAAGATATGGAGGAGAAGGAAGGAAAGGAAGGAGGAGAAAGGAGGGAAGGAGGGAAGGAAGGATACTGAAGTTGTTTTTAACCATCTGTCCTGGAAGATTTAATAAAGACCCCCACAATTTACAGACATCACCCTCAGGATGGGCCAAATCCCTTGCACCATCTAATTTTTCATGGTTAGGTTAGTCATAGAAAAAAGAAACCGGTTTTTTTTTTCCAGCCGAGTGAAAACCACACACATCTATTTGACATGAGAGAAAAGGAGGAAGGGAACACAGAGGCAAAAGAATTTTTTTTAAAAAAAAAGATAGATAGATAGATAGATAGATAGATAGATAGATAGATAGATAGATAGGGTGGGTGGATGGATGGATAGATTAGATAGATGATAGATAGACAGAGATAGATAGATAGATGATAGAGATAGATAGATATAGATAGATAGAGATAGATAGAGATACATAGAGATAGATAGAGATAGATATAGATAGATTAGATAGATGATAGATAGATAGATGATAGATAGATAGATAGATAGATAGATAGATAGATAGATAGATAGATAGATATAAGGAAATCTGGAAAAGCAGTTAAGAGCGGGAAAGAGAGCCAGCACAGCTAGCTGGGGGATTCTGGTAGCTGAAGTCCCCATAACCTTAATGGATGCTTGGCAGATTCTCATCTGAAGCCTCTTACAAAAACAACCCAAGCTGGACCCAATGGCCATCCGTTCCGCTAAGGTCTCTGCCAACAGATGAAAAGGAGGCCTACCTGAGCAGTTTCAAATCTTCTTTAAACACCTGTCAAAGGAAAAGAGGGAGAAGACATTAGACGGCCAGTATTTTGTAGCTCATGATTCCACTGTGGGGTCTCTGGGCTCTTGGTGACGTTTCATCACCAAGCAAGGGAACGTTATCAGTGCTAGAAGGGAGTGGGAGAGGAGGAGGAGGAGGAGAGCTGTGAGGTCCTAAAGTCTCTGACTTTGGTTGTTTTCTTGCAAACTTTTCATCACCATACAAGGGAACATCATCAGAGCTCATTCATCATCAGAATTTCCTTGGTGTTTCACCAAGTCAGGCATTATAAAATTGATTGGAATCTCCGCATCCATCCCCCACCCGCTCTCCTCTTTCGCATCGGCGCGATTCAAATTTAAACCACGAAGACTCACTTCTTGCTTGAGAGACGACGGAGGGAGCCTCAAAGCTTCACGGAGCAGGGTATACATGCCAGATAGGAGGATTGCCAGCTGTTCCTCTGATAGATTGGCACTCTCGGCTACCATCTTCACCGAAGCTTGGCACTCCTTCCCTTCCAAGGCGCTGACAGCGGCTATCGAAATTAAAAAAAAAAACCAAATAAAGATGACTCCAACAATTCCTATAAGGCTGTCCCCGGAGTAGCATCGTGGACCCGATTATGCCTCCACAGACGTAAATACTCAAAGGCACAAACACTGCTCTGACCTCCCCCTGTTGTGACCTAGGCTTGAGTAGTCCCAAAAACCTCTTTTATTGCAACAGCTGTGAGGAGGAGGAGGAGGAAAGCTGTGAGGTCCTAAAGTCTCTGACTTTGATTGTTTTCTTGAAGCGTTTCATCACCATACAAGGGAACGTCATTAGAGCTCATTCATCGATTGATTTCCAGCAAAATCAGCTTTAGAGGTTATCTTTGAAAGGCGAAAAGAGAGAGGAAGGGAGAGAGGAAGGAAGGAGAATGGAAGGAATGGAGGGAGGAGAAAAGAGGGAGGGGAAGGAAGGAAAGGAGGGAGAAAGGAAGGAAAGGAGGGAGGGAAGGAGAAAGGAAGGAAAGAAAGGAGGGAGGAAAAAGAAGGAAGGGAGGGAGAAGAAAGGAAGGAGGGAAGGAGAAAGGAAGGAAAGGAGGGAGGAGAAAGACGGGAGGAAGGAAGGGAAGAAAGGAGGGAGGAGAAAGAAGGGAGGGAGAAGAAAGGAAGGAGGGAGGGAGGAAGGAAGGAGAAAGGAAGGAATAGAGGGAGGGAGGAGAGAGGGAGGGAAAGGAAGGGAAGGAGGGAGGAGAAAGAAGGGAGGGAAGGAAGGAAGGAAGGAAGGAGAGGGGGACTGAGCATTGCTGGGAAAGCTAAGTTCAAAGCTTTCCTTAAAAGGAAAGCTGGGCCTTACATATCCAGGGTGATAGTCGTATTGACTAATTATGAATTAAGTTCCTCCACCAAGGTCTTTCTCTAGGCCAATGTTCCCCTTTCCAAAGAATTTCACTTCTCCTTTGCTATCTTTTCAAGGACAGATAAAAGCCTGCTGGTCTGCCAAACATTTTAGCTTTCTTGCAAATTTCTCTTTCACACCCCCTTGCTTTGTTTTGTTTTTTTTAAATTTTATAACACAAAGAGCAAGGCCAGGAAACCTAAGCAAAACCTCCAGGGACACAGAAATATTTTGAACGAAGGGAAGAAACGTTTAACTGCAGTGAGATGGGAAAACAAAACTAATTTTATTTCCAGGCAGAGAAGAAGATAAATTTGGAAACGCTGCAAGATCCTGCAGCTGTCAAAAGAAAGGATCCTAAATAAGAAGCAAGGCTTGTTGTGAATGCGGCTGCTTGAGGGCTCCTGGATTGGAGCTGAAAGGCGAAAGGGAAGCAGGATGCTCCCCTCCCACATTGGGGTAGACCAGGTGCTTTGATAGAAAAACACTTTGTGTGTGTGTGTGTGTGTGTGTGTGTGTGTGTGTGTGTGTGTGTGTGTATAGGTCTTTGGTTAGTCGTCCTGGAAGCACGAAGCCGAGAACACCAGCCTGAAGATGACGAATGAGACTTCGTCGAAACGTCGCCAAGACACTTCCAATTTTACGTGGGAGAAGACCCGAATAACCAAAGACCTACATACAAACACCCGCGAAAACCTCAGAAAATACGTGTGTATGTATGTATGTATGTATGTATGTATGTATGTATATATATGTATGTATGTATGTATATATATATATGTCTTCGCGGGTATGTATATGTAAAAAGTTAAAATCTCGGGTGTTTTCCCGCGTCATTAAAAGTCTGTTAGTTGAAATGCTTAAAATCCTGGCTAAAATCCCAGTTTAAGATCCTCCAAAATCCCAACAAAACATTTTGTAAGGTCTTTTGAAACTCTGGCTAAAATCCTAACCAACACTTTAAAAGTTTTCTTTTTGGCAACCTTTCAACAAGCTCTCTAACTTGTCATCATCGGGGCCCCTACTTTCAGTTTAGTTTATATATATATATGTTTTCGTAGATTTTCACGGGTACAGGTATGTAAGTCTTGGTGTATTCGGGAAAAGACCCGAATACACCAAGACTTAGATATATATAATCCCACTACACAATGTCTTTGGTTATTTGGGTTTTCTCCCCGTAAAATTGGAAGTGTCTTGGGGACGTTTCCACGAAGTCTCATTTATCATCTTCAGGCTGGTGTTTTCGGCTTCGTGCTTCTAGGAGCAATTGCTCCTAGAATTGCTCATTGCTCCTAGAAGCATGAAGCTGAAAACAGCAGCCTGAAGATGACGAATGAGACTTCGTCGAAACGTCGCCAAGACACTTCCAATTTTATGCGGGAGAAAACCCGAATAACCAGACCTACATATATATATATATATATATATATATATGTATGTATATATATATATATGTATGTATGTATGTATGTATGTATGTATATGTATGTATATGTATGTATGTATATGTATATATGTATATGTATATATATCCCACTACACACACATATATACACCAAGATTTACATATATATAATCCCACTACACAATATATCCCACTACATACACACATATATATGTATGTATATGTATTAATAAAAAAACCTCCCAAGCATTCAATTCCAAAGATCACCCATCCTCACGTCCAAAATTGCAGAAACGCTGAAAACGATCAAAAGCCAATTATTTCTTCCCCCTCCCCTCTTTTAGGAGCTCGCTTTGCTTCCTTCTCCGAGCAAGAGGTATTTTTATTTATTTTTTTACCTTTCAGGAGTTTCCGGAAAATCTCTTTTTCTACTTCTTGTAGACTCTTGGCCATGGCTTCCACCTGGGGGGGTATGCGAGGCCCCCAAAAACTGGCCCTGTTCAGGCTGCTTTCGCCGGCGAGCCCCGGGGGCAGGTAAGGGGGCGACACCCCCTTCCCCGCCGCCGTCATGGCAGCTCCTTGGCCCCGCAAAAAGAAGGGCGAGGCAGGCGCCGAGCTGATTTGCCTTTTTTTTTTTTGCAAAGCGCTGCAAGAAGCAAACCGAGCCGATCGCTCACGTGACCTTCCCCATTCCCGGGGAACGTTCCATTTCTCTCGGGCGCTCCCTAGCGACGGAAAGGCGTAACTGCCGGACGCATTTTT